ACTTATTTTTGAAGTCAAATGAGTGCCTATTCGCCTAGTCATGCAGTAGGCAGATTCTCGAACGTGGATCCAAATGCAGTAAAAAAAAAGTTTCTCCTCACCCTCTGTTTAAGTGACGTCAGACTCCAAGAATTTGCGAGAATTCCATGAATTTCATGAATGAACTATGGTTAGATTCTTGAAGGGCTGATAGATATCCAAAATAGTAAATAAACAGATTCAAATGTGACAATCCAGTTTCCAAACTATTCTAAACATATGTAATTTCAGATAATGAAATAAATGTAATCAACAATCTCAAGTGTGATGGTCAAGTTTACAAAATATAATGACTTGTCATGTCATGTAATTTTTTGAATCATCCACCATTTTGGAATTTAGAGGATTAAGAAGAAGAAAATGCAATTGGATATTATTCTACTCAGCTCTCTGACGAAAGGTAGGAGGTGTAAGGGAACATTGGGCAAAACGGCCTTATGAGGCAAAATGGCCCATCAAAATATCTTTTGAACTATAAAAAGATGGTTCTTCAAAAGTCACATAATCGAATTTTGACATTTCCGCCAACTTCTCGGCCACCCATTTTCAACCAAGCAGCAACTCACTTTACGTAACAGGTAATTCTTCTTTTCACTCTCTTTTTTTGCAAATTACCCCTCCCACGAGAATCTCTAAAAATCCAGCAACAATCGAATATCGTTTTGATTTAACATTTCACATAGAGTATACATATTTATTTTTTATTTGTAAAAATTTCGAGCTCCTAATATTAGGCAAATTAAAATGACATATATTTGAAATGTACATGTCTTTTGGGCAAAACAAATATAACGATTTTAACATTTTGTTTATACCTTATTTCTTTCCGACACATATCGAATGACTAGAATTATAGTAGGGGTTAAGAATACTTTATCTGTCAAGGGTTCGAAAGTCTGAGATAAGATGTATGCGGATGAGTCTTTGTAATTGATTCATTTTGGTTCTAAAACCCATGTAACAGAGGGTGGGCTGTTTGCCCCACTCTCGACATTATTTTTGCCCATTGAAAAACAGAAGATAGTCCCAGGCAAGTATAAAAAAACTCGAAAATGTAAACCACAACCCATTAATAAAGTGGAACATCAAAGTGCGCGATGACTGACAGATTAGAAAATACCCCGTACAGAACAACTTAAGATTCAATTTTAGGGCCAGTTTGCCCCATGTTCCCTTAGATAAGTCATCGAACAAATGTATTATACATGGGGGAAACATTTAAGAAAACGACCAATTGAGAAAATAAATGGATTTTCGACTGTCGGACAGCAACTGAAAAAAATATACTTTTCAGTCAGTAAAATGTACTAAGCTATAATGCTTCTTCTGTAGAAATCTGTGCTAAATATTTATAAAATAAAAGCTTTGAGCAAAATTAGCTTTACTTATTGAACGATATGCTGATATGAATTATCAGAATCACCAAGACTTATACAGTGATCACTAAAATGTGAGGCTATGCGTCCGTTAACCATTCATTATTTAATTTACATAAAATGCTTAGCTTTTGTATTTTCCATATCATTCATCCCAAAAGCTCTACTCGTTTTTAGTAGAAATCTAATATTGATGACTGGTTGTGAACGAACTAGCATCGGTTGAGTATTTTAAGGCATACAATCAAACCACAATTTATTTTATGACGTTTTGAGAACTATTTTCGTGTGACGGGTGGTCGAGTTTGCGTCTAAAATGACTAGCCATCGATCAAGCCATCGAACATACACTAGAACCACCACGCATCACAAACAAATCGACGCAATTTATTAGTACTCAGCGTTCATTTTTGCCATTGTGCCTTCGTTATTAAAAGATTTTCGATTCTAAATGCACTTATTTTCTTGGATTTTTAGACTTGAAATATTTGCATTCGCATAGCCACACAATTTTGCGATCTGGCGCATTTAAACTCGTACTAAATATTACATTAAGCAGTAAAAAGTAAATAAGAATAAAAATATTACCAACCTTTCGGAATGATATGACTATATACAGTCATAATGACAAGCATCTACATGATGGGCCAAACAACAATACCAAAGTTTAAAGATGGAAATCATATGATTTATCATGATGGATATATACATTGCCAGGTATTTTATATTAATACATCTACGTTCACACCAACGGCGCTTTGATGGCGCTTTAAAGCGACTTGTAAAGCGGCACCAGAACGTAACAAAGTTTGATTAAAGCGTCGGGATCGTAATAGGTAGTAGAAAAGCTCGGAGTTAAGCGGGATATTCGGCAAGAGCTCTAAAAATTTAAACTGTTCAAGCTACGTTCGCACCAATGGCGCTTTGATGGCGCTTTGGGTCAATACAACCCACGTGGGATTTGTTTTGGTCATGGTATAGGAAAAGTAGTACTTAAAACACTAGTTTGCTACTTTGTAGATGTATGGCACGTATATGTGTACATGTATTGACAATTAATGTTTGGTAATAGCTAGTAGGAGTGTCAGGGACCGCTGACAGATTATAATTTTGAACCAAAAAATTGAATAATATTTTTGGCGGTCTCAGTAAATCAATGGGGTAATCAGGTCCTACGTGCTTTTTACAGGCCCAGAAATCAATGCTCGCTTATAAATGTAGCAAAATATGTCGAATTTAGCCATATTTCGCATATCTTTCTGTGGAACCATTTAAAGTTTTGCAAATTAACCCCAAAAATGCTGGAGACGACGATCTAAATTTTGCTGAGTCAGCAATTTTCGTTTTTTCATTGAAAACAGTACTTTTCAGCCTAAATTGCTACATTTCTGCTCTTTTATCAAGTAATTTGATGCAGTTCTTGCCAAATTAAAGGAAAAATACCCCAAACGTTCCACAGTGTGCGAAGTTACAACATTTTGACCCTTTAAACCCACAAAAGAAGCAATTTTAAAGGGATATATTCAGTAAACCTGCACAAAAGACAATGCTACTTGAACTTGCCATCAGAACTTCATTAAAAACGAAAAATCAATGATGTTCAGTTTAGTAAAGTAGCAAATAGTCATACTCATGAGAGAATATAAATCACTTGTGCAATTTGAACAACTTTGAACAGCTGTTTTAAGTAGATTAGTATCATTATGGGCAAAAATCCCCCAAAATAGCCCAAAATTTGTCCAAAAAATCAAATTTTTCATGCTCAAGGCTGAATTATTTTGCCTATTTTGCTACATTTATCAGTGCAGTGACAAGAAGTCTTTTGGATAGCGCAACTTTTCCTGAACGTTTCTCTAATAAGATATTTTAATGACAAAATAACTACATTTAGTCTGGAATAAATTGTCACAAAATATAATGACCCCAGGGGTCAAGAGAACCCTATAAAATCAAAAGTGCTGAGGGGATTTGAGCAAAAATGTACATATCACTTCATAAAACCCCGAACTTTAAAATTCATATTGAACAAAATGCATATTCAGTCAACCGTGACACTAATAGGGTCAATACAACCCACGTGGGATTTGTTTTGGTCATGGTATAGGAAAAGTAGTACTTAAAACACTAGTTTGCTACTTTGTAGATGTATGGCACGTATATGTGTACATGTATTGACAATTAATGTTTGGTAATAGCTAGTAGGAGTGTCAGGGACCGCTGACAGATTATAATTTTGAACCAAAAAATTGAATTATATTTTTGGCGGTCTCAGTAAATCAATGGGGTAATCAGGTCCTACGTGCTTTTTTCAGGCCCAGAAATCAATGCTCGCTTATAAATGTAGCAAAATCTTTTTTCGTTCGTGGGATATTTTTTTCACCATATAACCGAACGGGAAGTTTTTGAATAGGACTACATGATCTGAATGGATGCGAGGATTCGATGGGCTGGGATTTGAGAAATTATGATTTGAACTTTGCCAATTTTACATGTATTCCAATGGGTGAAAAAGTAAGTTGCTTTCTACCTTTGCTCGCCGATTTAAAGCGTGGCATTCGCCGTTGGTGTGAAAGAAGCTTACTATGTCAAAGATGAATCATTTCCTAAGAACATGTAACCATCCGATTGAAAACTGTTGTTTTCTTGTGGAGTTAAAGAGGATAAATTAACAACAGGGGTGTCACGAGTGATTTACAATTATTCACTGCGGATTTGCAAATTGTGGAACATGGAGGGAAATCTGAAAAATAAGTGCATTTATAAAAGATTAGTGCAAAATTCACCATTACTACTTATATCATTATAATTTACTATCAATTGTTCATTACTCCTAAATAGATTTATGATGAACATTTGGGAATTTTCATTTTTTGATTTTTGGTCGCTCATGATACCCATGGTGTCAATTTGGTTTCTAGACAAGTCATCCAAAGACAATTCATCCTACACTTGTATAATTGATAACTTATTTCATCCTTTATATTATATATATCCCCTTTTCACTTTTATGACTACAAAGTGAGATTTTATTAACACTCAATTTTTTAAAATGATTTTTAACAATTTGAAATGGCGCTTGGAAGTTGTGTCTTACTTTTAAGTACCGGTAATTTTTTTTATCGATTCTGGGTTATTCTCAATATATTTAAGAATAAAAATTGAAGTTAAAAGTCAAATACGTAATTTCCAAATTTAATCATCATGAATCTGAAAGTTGGAAATATTATTCTGAAGTATTGAGCCGAATATGATATATTGGAATAAAAAGAATATTCTAAAATAAAGACTGAATTAATCAGGGAGAATTATTCTGATAATACCCTGGATAATACTTTCTCACTTTTATCCTTGATTATCCTTAAAGCAAAGTATATATTGATTTGAACATTTTTATCTTTATCTCAATCAATAAACAAAAATCGGTAAAAACTAAACACTAAAAATACATAAATATTAAGTAAATACAACATTGCAAAATATAAAACATGACAGTTTCAAACATGACATGAAAAATGCGTATGATAAAAAACAAGATATTCCATGGCCAAACAAAATCTTTCTATCAACGATTGGAATTAATTGACAGTATAGAATCGTGTTATATCAAGTTGGAAAGAGTTGTATTTAAGAGGAATTGTCTTGAGATGAGATGTCTTGGGATGACATGTCTTTGGATGAGTTGTCTTCGGATGAGCTGTCTCAGATATTTCAGATATATTCTATGAATCATTTACCTTTGAACTAGGGTATTGGTTTTTTGGCCCACCTTATATGTATGACTCAGATGAGTAAATGTTTATATGTGTTGTATAGTAACCGTTTCACATGCAAGAGGATCATTATTCATGGTTGCCAAATTATCACTTCCATCATTAGTATCATGACCATCGAAATACTTCCCCTGAAGCCTCTTCAAGACATTAAAAGGGTCGCAATCACGTCCTTTATACTCCTTAAGTTGCAACGCTTTAACGAACTTCAGCGTTTCCTCTGCACACACGACTGACAATTGTTCTCGGAATGTTTGACCAGAACATCTCTCACTTAAAGAATTCAGAGAATCGCAAAACCATCTGAACAGAACGATAACAAACAATTGATCCATGAGCCATGGAGAATGATTCAAAAGGTTTTTTTCCTTTTTATCTATGTCAGGAAGTTTGCCTGCCCATTTCCTTTCTCTACAATCCTTGTATGTAGACCAATCACCTGACAAAAGTTCAGGTACGCTTATTAGGAAAGATATGCGAACAAGTATATCGTGCATACACATTTCAAATGTTTCACTATCATTCTCACATTTCCCCTGGTGGACGTAAACGAGGCACTTAAAGGCATGTGAGCTGAAGTTAGTGAGACAACTTCCACCTTTGTTACAAACGGACATCACGTATTTAAGTATCATCACAATTTTGCGATGATGTTCATCAATCCTACATCCTGGATGGTAAACAGACTGTATCCAACCAGCGGAACCAGGCAATACAATATTGCGACTTTCTTCCATTTCGGTGTCAGTTCCATCATCAAATACACAATACCCGAGATCGACATCTGCTGTACACAATCTGCCTCCAACTCTTAGTCTTACACACGGGCCATGGAGTTCGTCATCTAGTATTATTTCGTTTTCTGAGAGTTCAGAGTCTGCTGCACTCTTGTCGCCGATGAATTCCTTTCCCTTGTAAATTAATTTTCCTTGGTCATGCATTTGTATTAAAGTCAAGTGTATGGCTTTGTGAATGTAATACATGATCCATTCCGTGATTCGACCTTG